TTAATCATAGGTAATGGTAGGATAATCGGAACCATGCGCAGATAGGGATGAAAAATGCACGGATTGCGTGGTATTTATAGTTCGTAGAGGTCATCAGCGTGCGTACAATAATTATCCACTCCTGCAGCCACCGCTTGGGTCTTAATAGGTGCAGTGATGGCCTGACACTTCGGGTTCTACACATATGGTCGTGCTTTCCTTGTCCGTGTTGGATGCGGGCCTGGTAATTGCGCGACAATTATGCTTGTCCGAGTTGTTGCTAGGCCCGGCCCTTCGGACGTGACTGATTCTCTTGCTCAGGCAATGTCTTAGTACGCAGTAGGGAAACGCCAAATCATTGCGTTTACTGATGGACTGGGGGCTTGAAAACCATGACTCGAGCAGCTCGCGGCTCACGCGGTCGTTACCTCTTGCGGGGAGTTCGGCTCGTTAAACTTGCGAAATGGAGACTGCCGGATATCCAAGCTGCTTCGTATGCGAGAGAGGGCATTTCGATGGAGCAAAAAGTCGAACGTATGCTTAATAATTGTAAAAACCAAACCATTAGTTTTTCATTCTAACTTATTTACCTTCAGTGGCTTAAATAATTGACATATTATAAGGCCACTTTTGATGTAATACTTGTTGATAAAAAAGATAAGATCTTAGCAGGTAAATGATACGTTATGAATCACAAAGTACCTTCCTTAAAGATCATTCGTCCCTTTAACATCGCGGGCAGGCAGGGTGGACGAGTTGGGCGCTACGATGTTTTTCCTACTAAGTTCGTGAATTTGCATCAGATAGGGCTCCAACTGTGGTGCTAGAGGGTAGGATAGATGCTGCTGCCAGTGGAACTCAGCGGCACGTACCGTGCAAACGGTCTTCAGTTACCAGACGCGCATAACTACGCTTTTGCGATCTGCAGGGTGGTTCAGCATTTTCCTGCAGGATATGAATTAAAGGAATAATGCAGGACAGCAAGAGGTTTTTATGTGCTAGGACTATTCTTTGGCCATAAGTCGCTTCTAAACTGATTGGTAGGGCGTCCGGTCAGTGTTTGACAGACCGGATGTTCGCTTACGCCTGGCAAACAGGTTTGCAGGGTCGTATCAATTAACACTGCTCTGAGTAGTAAAACTGCTGGAAAGGGGATTTGTGACTGTTGAAGACTGTATGTTGATTGTTAAATTTCAACATTTAGGACATTACGCTAAGCATAACTACTCCCGCAACTGCAACGTAACGTCGATGCTGCAAGATATAGAGTTCTTAGGGAATGCCTATTACTCTAAAATATTATACACCGAACTATAGCTTACAGACACTGAACGGTTAGGTTTCCTAATATAAAGGCATTTCACAACCGTATTCTTTGAAATCTCAGCTCTGGTACTCTGTGTAACCGAAGCTCAGCCAAATTTACTTATACCAAGTACACCTCTTTTTGATTGCTGTTTGGTGAATAGGCTCAATTAAAATAACAACACGATCAGAAGACCCCAGCTCGATTTAGGCAAGTCTTTGTGTAAGAGGTATCATATCTTTGGAACTTTTAAGCCCATGCGTAAACTGTAAAAACCACTTTCGTTATTGTGCGGCCCTTCTCAACGATAATAAACAGATTTATTTTCAACTGACTGCGAAATAAGCCTTCTGCACAGAAGACGCTCGAACGCCAAATTTTTTAAACTTTACCACTGATATATTAGCGCGGGTAACTTGTTCTCCCACTGTTTTTCTTCTGAAGTTAAATGCATCAAGGTGCCTATATATGCGCATTGCCATTTTTTATTGAAAACAAAACATACAGGTAGAAAGAAGGAGAAAACATATGTACAAATGCAGTTCTGCAAATCAGCCTGGTTCAGGCTAGAATGCGTCACCGTGGGCTCAGAGGTCATGGTTTTGTACCGGAGCCTGCAGTGTGTCTGTGATAAACCCAGAAAGCCTGTTTTAGAGACTGCTGTGGAAAGCGTTGGCTGGTTCCCAAGTGCGGGGATTAGCTGTCATCAGGTGTGAACCAGAGGGAATTACACCATTGCCGAAATCACTTGAATTATAATCCCGTATACCGGGTAATGTCCCTTTGAAACGCTTTGCTGAACACCGACATCGAATCCCGTCGCAATTTTTATCCGGCCCACTTGCCTCCTGGAGGCCTGCATGAAAATTGTTGGACGGTTGCTCTATTGGAGATCTGGATGCATCTTGCGGTTTGTTATTGGGTAAAGCTGGTTGGGAAAGAATTCTTTTGAGAAAGGGATTCGCGACAGCAGTTCGGGAGGTCTCTGGCAGCACAAAATTCATGTATGCTACAAAAACCTTGGTATCCACAGTGAAAATTAGGCGCTGAAGGGCATTCACCAGCGGCTTCACCACGTCCAGGGGTCGTTTATTTATCTCCATAAGGAGTTCATAGGTCTTTCCCAGGAGCATCTTTGCAGTCGTTTCTATCTGATTTTCGCTTTTGTATTTATGCAACTTCATGCAGGCTTCACAAGGTCGCGGATTACTACTTGGGGTTGCAGTGGTAATTGGGCTACTGAACACGAGTCGAGCCAGGCTGGACGCGCAGTTCTGGGCTTCGGCCGTGCACCTCGGTGCAGGGAGGGAGACAGACGACCTCAGGGTTTGCTGCGTACAGCTTTCGGAAGAAATATCACCTCCAGTTCTTCCAGGATAGCACGGACAGTCCGCCATAACATCTGAAAGTGGTCGCTTCAAATTGGGGTGAATGGAAGGTGAGTTCTGAGTTAGGAAAGTTGTAGAGGCTGGAGCTGTTGCTCTTCTCTCCTTGTCTCTGTTTTGCCGACCAGACGCAACTTCTAATTTTGCGGCGGGTGAGGAGCGATAAGAGGGGACAGACATGGAGGTGATGGGAGAGGTATACTCCTTTGCAACTGGTGCGACGGTGCAAACACTTGGTTCCCTCTGCGAGCCTGTTTCGGTGCAATTCGATCCAGACGTAGCGGGATTGGTGGCAACTATTCAAAATTAAAAAAGAGGACATATATTTTGTTTTAACGGTTGCTATAAACTGTATCATCTTCGTAACTAAGACAGGGCATAGTTCGTGAGCGTGATGCAAATAAATCACATTGCACTGACTGGCGCCGTACTCGGGTAATATGTAGCATTCAGTTCGGTCAGGGATTACTTTAATTGGGCGCTAATTGTTAGGTGGAGTTCGATTAAGCAATCACCGAGTGAAGTGTTATTTACGGAAAGAAATGTAAACTAATCGAGTTTTGATAATAGGAGACTGACGGTGGGAGCTAAAAGCTAACCATCCGTTAGCAGTAAAGAGGAATGCTATAGTTTTCAAATTTGTGCTCTCTAAACACCCACCGTCATCGAGCTTAGGTTAGTGCAGGGTGAAAAACCCGCGAGTCATGAACTGCTAGAGCCATATTGAATCAACAAAATTAGTTACCGATTCACTGCTATGGCGAATTAGAGTTTCTTCTGCCCTGTGCATATACTCCTGTTTTGTCGCATTTGACAGAAAAAGTATTACTTGAGAAGGAATCTGCTTATCGATATCGTTATATTTCGTTGTCGTTATATTTCGTTATAAATATATCGTTATATTTATCGTTATATTTCGAGGACACTTCTTCCGCAGAATAAGATACATAACAAAATCGTGGATAATCATATCGTTATTCGATGTGGTAAAAGTACATTTGTATATTTGATCTGGATGACTTATCCACAAAATAAAGAACCAAGGCTGGTGGCCGACCCACAGAAGCTTATTTATTTATTAACATCGCGAAGACTCGTCAGAGCTTCACCGTACGAGGGAATTAAATTATCTCTAATTAATTTTCCGTCAAGTGTTTTTAGATCACAAAATCAAGTGGAAAAACAAGTCATCTTAAAGATACATATAGAAGTGAGTTCTATAGGAGCAAAATACGACTCGAGCTTGCGAACTGAAAGATATATGTGCATAGAATTCGGGAATATAAGACAACTGTTTGCAGACCTCGAAAAGCTGAGGACAACTGTACGTCGTAAGAAGGGCTTTTGCCCGGTACTGGTGTGGTTGGCTGGAATGGTGCTCGATGAACATTTAGCATGCATCCTCTTATGGAGTGCTGTTCAATGCTACTAAACAATGTGTTCGTTCCAACTGTGTCTGATGATGCGTTCGGGGAAGGATCCGAAACGTCAGGCAAATAAGTTTCTTGTCTCAGAGATCGCGTTTTTATCTTGATACTCATGGTCAATTATGAAATTCTTTTTATTTCAAAGCCCAGCGAAACCTTCTATTCAGGGCCTCATGACCCAAATTGAAAAAAAGATGAAATTCTCTCCTAAATTTCCACGTAACCACAATACTGGGGAATGTTATGGGTATCCAGGAGAAGATGTTATTTATCACAGTCAATTACAGTACGTCAATTGTCGCGCGGGCGCTACATGTCAAGCAATCAAGGCCTTCCAGTTGCCTGAGAACTGTGAGGTCTGGTAGATTACCACTCCTTCAGGTTATACAGTCGCAAAAGCAGGAGCTGGCAGTGTGACCTTCATCCACCTGTTGTCAGAAGCTTTTATCTAGTCGTCCTTGCCATCGCAACAGTAACTGCATTAACCCCCTTTCTACGGATATGTGTGCATTTTACACGCGCTGTAACCCGAGTATGTGTTCGAGTGCATTCTCTTTTGCCGGCTTTGGTAAGCAACAGGCGTCTCTGCCCTGCTGGGTAAACCCCCAAACTTCTCAGTGAAGTTTGTGAAGTCTGTAGGTGTTGATACCTGATGAGAAATGCATGCATGCATACGACTTAGTATAGATAGACGCTTTGACAAGGCCACAGTAGAGGGCAGCACTCTAGTTTCGCAGATGACTCACCTGATTTTAGGATTTTCATCACAGGATTCGTACACGCCCCGGTTGTCTATCACATTTTTATGTGAGCACCTAAATGTCTGGGCGATGTACGAAGGGTGGTCAGCAAACAGTCTATCAGACGATAACTAACACGTGCTTACTGGGGGGTGCGCGATGTCTCTTTCTAGATATGAACT